TTGTACAGGGTAGGCTGGCAGTTGTGAATAGATACTACATTTGGATTCAGATTTCTTAAGGGCTCAGTCTCTTAGCAACATCAGAGACTTGGGAGGGCTATGCCAATTTCTGCCTAAAGGGATATAAAGAGTAATCTGTATGCACAGAGTGAAGTCTGAGTGCTTTGGCAATAAGTTGCAAGTTAAGAGATGTAAAGAACCATGGTGGTCAAAGTAACCCAGAGATCAAACAAATGAAAACCCCCAAATCCATCTCAGGATTTGATCAAATATGCTCATTAAGCTGCATGGGAACTGCTGAATACAGAGTTTGTACTTACTGTAGTCTGACTGACATTGATTCATCAAGCCTTTGGGAAATACCCAAGATTTTTCCCTAGGTAGGTTTTTTTTCTAAGTCCTCTATTCCTCTGGGGGCAATACTAAGAGAGAAAAAGTGGCAACACATACTTCTAGGATCAAGCTGCTGCCTAGGAAATGGAGAACCTAGTCAGGGAGGTGGGTCGTCCTGTCAGATCCAGTGCCTCTGTGGCAGCTTCTCCACAAGTCAACTGCTTGAGACCAATTTACACATATCCCATTTTTTAGATCTACTGGGAAGTGCACTTTGGACACTCATGCACAACACAAGAGCCAGGATTCAAATAAAATATGAAGCAAATACAGCACTAGGAGGCAGAGCTATGCCTCCAGAAGGAAATTTTGTTTCTGGAAATGCCTTTGAGAGGAATTCTCTATTTAATATCTTCAGTGTTCTGTGGTCAGAACTGTTCCCTTTGGAGAAAATGTGTGGGCTGTGAAAAACTGCAGATCTTCTCTTGGTTGAACTAATGGTATGATTAGCAATTTTTTCAATGAAACTACCAGATTTGTTTGAATAGGCCACGCTGTGTAAAACTCTTGTATGCTTTGTTTCAAGGACATTGGCTTTGGAGGCTAGAGGACAGAATCTAGTAATTAACTCCTGTGTTAGCATAAATAACCTAGCCTAAAGGAATTCCTGCACCCACACAAGCTCCCAAAGAGATCACGGATCACACAATTAATATTACAAAATGGTCGACTGTTTGTTTATCTTGGCCAGGAATGCCTGCCTCTTTGTTTGCACTGTGAAGGTGTCTCTAGTTAGCTAGTAGGGGCTTTGTGAAATTTTCAAAACAACTTCCATGTAACTTTCCTCCACTGTAAATATTAGATACGTGCCCTTTTTACTAAAGGAGAATGTAACAAAATCACATAAACAAAGGCGTATTGCAAGTCCTGCAAGGTTGACTTGCTATAGCCCTTACTGTCTGGTTGGCTCATTTGGACTGAGTGGTTTGGACGAATATAGTGGTTTGGACTGGACTGAATAGTTTCACATATGTATGCTTTGTCTCCCACCACTGTAATCATTTGCTGCTAGAGAACAGCAGCAATGCCTAACTGTGCTTTTAGAAAATGGTATAACCACTTCACAATATTGTTTGGCAGATTCTTTAAAAGTTAAATAATCCTGGAGGAAAAAAACAGTAGGTAAAAACTAAGGAACTTTGAAAAAAGTATGGGCTTTAGTTAATAACAATGTATTGATTTTAGTTCATTAATGGTGAACAAGTGTACCATAGTAACTTAAGATGTTAATAACAGGGAAAAGTGGGTATAGGGTACATAGGAAATCTCCATACTATCTACTACGCACTGATGTTTGTTCCCCCCCAACCCCCCCACCGCACACACACAAAATTCATACTGGGGTTAGGTTAAAATCTTAACCCCTAATGTCATGGTATTAGGGGTGGGGCTTTGGGGAGGTAATCACACCATGAGAGAGAAGGCCTATTGAATGGGATTAGTGCCCTTATGAAAGAGACTCCAGAGTCTTGCCTATTCCACAATATGAGCACTGGTGAGGGTACTGTAAGAAGATGGCCATCTATGATGAGGAAGAGGGCCCTCATCAGCGCTGAAATCTTCCAGCACCTTGATCTTGGACTTGCCTATTCCTGGAACTGTGGGAACAAAATCTTTGTTGTTTAAGCCACCCAGTCGATGGACTTTCTGTTACACTAGCCTGAGCAGACTAAGAGCATTCACAATTTTTCAGTAAATCTAAAATTATTCCAAAAAAATAAAATTTGGTTTAAGAAGAGTTAAAAAAGAATTTAAAAAGTTAAATGTACACCTTCTATATAATTCAGTCACTCCATGTCTACGCCTTTACCCAAGAAAAGAGGAAAGTGTGTGTATGCAAAGATGCATACATGAATGTTCATGGCAGCTTTATTTATAATAGCCCCCAAACGGGAAATAACCCAAATATCAATGGTGACTGGATATCCCCGTGTTTTTATTCATATAATGGAAAACTACTCTGAAAAAAAAATGAACTATTGATACATATAACAAGATGGGATGAATCTTCAAATAACTGTAAGTGGAATAATCCAAAGAGTACATATTACATGATACTATTTATATAAAATAAAAATGCAAACTGACTTATAGTAACAGAAACATCAGTGTTATTTTGAAAGAAGAGCAGGAGGGAGGAATTACAAAGGGGTACTAGGAAATTTGTGCATGACTGATATATTTATTACCTTGATTATGGTGATGGTTTCCTAGGTGTATACATACATCAATCAGCCCCTACAAATTGTATTCTTTGGATTGCCTGCTGTTTATTGTATGTCAGCTATACCCCAATATATCTGTTTATTTTAAAATATCCAGAAATATCCAGTCATGTCAAGGAAAAGGGAGACAATTATCTTAGGCTCATATAACTACCATCCTGGAACATAACACATAGCTCTGAGCCTTTCGGTAGTGGAAATTTTGCTGTTATATATCATTGTACCTACTACCTGTCTTCTGGGGACCAGTTTATTTGTTTGAAAAATAAATACTGAGCCTTAAAGTCTTTTACAGGCAGATATATTGAGAATAATTCTAAACATGCATCTTCTGAAATAATTCAAATGAAATTCAATTGCATTAATTTATAAACCTTAACTTAAAATTGGCTAACAAAATATTAAAAGTTCAAATGGGAATTAATAGTTAAGAATTATTTGTAAGTAGTATATATCATACAATTCATCCATTTAAAATGTACAGTTCACTGTTTTTTTAGTATATTCACAGGTACGTACAACTATTACCACAGTCAATGATAACATTTTCATCTCCTCAAAAAAAAAAGCCTCAGATTGTTTAATGGTTATAGGGTCTCCTCCTGGGCAATGAAAATTTTCTGTAAGTAAATGGTAGTGATTGCATAACTTTTGAATGTACTAAATATCACTGAATTGTACACTTCAAAATAATGAATTTTATGTTAAATTTATGTATCCGTCACAGCAAAAAAAAATACACCCACACACTTTAGTTTTACCTATATCCCTCCATCCCTCTAGCCCTAAGCAACCACTAATGTACTACCTTTATCTATAGATATGCCTACTCTGGACATTTTATATAAATGAAATCATAAAATATGTGAACTTCTGTCACTGGCTTCTTTTATTGAGAATGTTTTCAAGGTTCATCCGTGTTGTAGTGTGTATCAGTAGTTCATTCCTTTTCATCTATTTCTTTTTGTGGCTGAATAATAGTCTATTGTAGGACTATACCATATTTTATTTATCCATTCATCAGCGATGGGCACTTAGGATGTTCCCACGTTTTGTCTGCTATAAATAATGCTGCTATGAACATTTGCATACAAGTTTATGTGTAGGTGTATGTTTTGATTTTTCCTGGTTATATACCTATGAGGAGAATTGCTGATAATTCTATGTTTAACCATTTGAGGAACTGCCAGACTATTATTCAAACTGGCTGCACCATTTTACACTCCTACCAGCAGTGTATCCAATTTCTCCACATTCTCACCAATACTTGTTATAATCTGACTTTTTGATTATAGACACCCTAGGGAGTATGAAGTGTTATCATGGGTTTTTGATTTGCATTTCTCTGATGACTATTGCTGTCAGGGACTATTTCATGTAGATTTTTCCTAGAAATATGCTTATGTAGTCAGTATAGTACATAGGCTCTCAGGGGGCTCATAGGTCCTCAAAGTTATGAACCCTTAGAGTGGGTTGGACACATGAAGTGAAACTGTCATGGTAGTTACTTATAAATTATATTTAATCATAGTAAATTGTATAAAATGTACTTTTTTCTTTTACACTACTATATATTGAATAAGAAAAGTAAAATAATATATTTTAAGATTAGTTGCATTGCAATATTGGATTGGTTTCCACTATATAATTCTTAACAAGGGTGGAGGGAGAAGGGTCCTAATTTCTATCAAAATGAGAAATGTACATTATATATCACCATCTGTGAAACCATCAATCCCATGGACTCTGGTAGGAGGAATGACTTATCCTTTATTTGTGCAAAAGTGATCACGCTGAACAGGATTAGAAAACCAACAGAGTAGAAAACCGTACCACAGAGGTATCTGTCTAACAGGATCGGGAAAAGGGATGTAGGGAGGTGCTAGCCGAAAAGTCACTTTCTGGATGACTTGGAAATATGAACACTATTCAGCAAGTTACCTTGCTGAGTACTATTCTCGGTACTACTGCTATTGCAGTTTTACACTTATGAAATGAAAGTTGTCCATTCCCAGGAAATAAATGAGCATTTGCCCAGTGGGCTGAGGAGCCACCTACAAAGTTTGAATCTTCATTGTGACTAGGTGGAGTTACAGTGACCTAAGTTTTGGAAACTCAAAGGAATTTGCTTAGGCAGCTTTGAGGGGGTCATTACACTGCATGGTATATTCTTACAACTGGAGAAAAACCTCCTTAATATTGGAAGCTTATACACATTTGCATTTCTTAAGGTAGCCAGCCTCATTCTTTTCACCGGATCAGCTTTTAGAAAATGGAATGATTTGGAGTGAAAATGAACATACCAAGCAGAAGCTTCTCTAGTATGTTCCATTGCCTAACTACAAAGACACCAAAGAAAAAAAAGCAATTCAATTTCTGTACCTTATTTCACCTTCTCTAATGTGACCTGCCAGTTCTTCAATAAACTTCTCCCCTTTCATCCAGTAGATCATTGGTCCAGACTCTCCACTGAATCCAAAGAATGCTTTGCAAGGGATGTTCAGAGGTTTACCTGAGAATGACAGAGGAAAAGAAATGAGCAAATGACTCCTGGTTATCACCGGGAGACAGAAAAGGACCATTTAACACCCCAAGGGAGACGCAGAAGTAACCAATTTTCAACACTTCTACTAATTATCTTATCACTGTACATGAGAAAAACAGTGACAAGGGTTTCTGGGAAATATTAAAATACAAGATATTATCAAAAATTTGAAAGTAAAGAAAATTACTCACTTGTTAGAACTGCTTGTTTTTACTGTCTTGCTCCTAAGAACTAATATGAATGAATCAAATGGAATGAATCCTTTTTTTCTTTCCTGAGACAATTAATTACTGCTTACTTGGACTTGCCTTTGACATTAACATTAATCAAAAGTATAAGTTAATTTTTGATTGGTGAGAAGAACATAGCCTATCTACTCTTATTAAGATTGCATGGGCAAGGTACATGAAAAGATGTTCTACATTGTTAATCATCAAGGAAATGCAAATCAAAACCACAATGAAATATCACCTCACAACAGTTAGAATGGCCATTATCCAAGAGACAAGAAATAACAAATTTTGACAAGGATACAGATAAATGGGAACCCTCCTACCCTGTTGGTGGGAATGTAAATTGCAACCACTGTAGAAAGCAGCATGGAGGTTCCTCAAAAAACTAAAAATAGAAATACCATTCAGTCCAGTAATTCCATTTCTAGAAATTTATCCAAAGAGAACAAAATCCCTGTTCAAAAAGACATATGCACCCCTGTGTTTATTGCCATACTATTTATAATAGTGAAGGTATGGAAGCAACCTGAATGTCCATCAACAGATGAATGGATAAAGAAGATGTGGTACATGGCACACAATGGAATACTACTCAGCTATAAAAAGTAAAGAAACCCTCCCATTTGTAACAAAATGGTTGGATCTATAGGGTATTATGCTAAGTGAAATAAGCTGGCAGAGAAAGACAAGTACCATAATTACTCTTGTTTGTGGAATATAAAAACAAAACAAAACAGAAGGAACAAAACAGCAATAGACTCATAGACACTGAGAAGTGACTAATGGTTATTGAGGGGCAGGGGTTGGGTTGGGTATGGAGGAGGGTCGTGGGGACAGTACTGCAACATCAAGAATACAGTCAATGATTCTGCAACATCTTTCTCTGTTGATAGTAACTGCACTAGGGGGAGTGAGGATTTAATAATAAGGGTACCTGTTGAACCATTGTGTTGTACATTTAAAAAGTACATGTAGGGAAAACACAGTCTGACCATATCTTCTGTTCTTTGAGTTACTCACAGCACTTAAATAATGCTAGGCAACACTGCAGCACTTTTTATTATGCATCTTTGTGGTTATAGCTAAAAACTTTATCTTAATTGTAAATTTATTATCAAACATATAAGCAATTATTTTTTGCCGGCATTGATTTTATTTTATAATTGCAAAATAGATCATTAAGGGAAAAATAGTGTAAAGAGCACTATCTTGACACTCCTGACAAAGGAATCCCCCAATTCATAAATTGTAATATAGCATATAATCTTCCATAACATGTAATTTTTGCCCTGGTTGGAGCACTAGATAAAGCCATTTCAAAAGTACCTTTTTTCCTCAGAGAGTACATGGTGGACTTGTTCCCATGATTATTCTGAGATGTGAGTAAATTCTCAATTCTGTTCTTAAAGTGATCCAAAACTTCCATGTTCTAAAAGTCCTTATTTCTGGGACCCTTTCTATTTACTCACCATAACTATCAGATGGCTTTCTTTCAGGACCATTTTCACAAAGAAACAATTTTAATGGGAGTTACGATCTACATTAAGACAGTGAAAATTAAGATAACCTCATAGATATGTGGATGCCAGTTGATATGTTGGGCTGAACTATAAGTGACTTGTATATTGGTCTTTTTATAGGGCAAATTTATATCTCATCAGAATGACATGTCATGGACTTTGGAGTTATTCAATTATTGTCAAAATCTTTGATATCAGTAGTCTGTTATACATATCTAATGCAAATCTGAAACAAGGTAATATATTCATTGTTGCTTTGAACATGTGCTCTGTGATATAAGCTTGTGTAAAAACGAAAGATAGCCTTATATAGTGGAAAGTGTACTGGACTAAGAGTTAGGAGATTTGGATTCTAGTTTTGGATCTCTCATGAAAAATCAGACTGTCTGGTCTGGGCAGACTACCTAACCTTTTATAAACTGATTTCTCGTATATGTAACGAGGATGGTCCTAATACTTGGGAAACTCAGATAAGATAATGTCTACAAAAGTGCTGGGTAAATCTGAAAGTCCCATTTAAATTTAGCATGGCGCTGTTTTTCTTCTGAGGACTTGTCTTTCAAGAAGTTATATTTGGGGCATAATCTGATGTGGATAATTAGTAGATAAGTCTTCATTTTGACCTGGCCAATCTCATGTCCTTTTATTTAAGAGCTCCTATGGGGCAATATTCTTCTCTTATCAATGATCTATGAATATTTCCTGGATCCTACAGCAGATATGATTCAGCCAAGAGGGCCCTATGTTCTCTAAACCTGAACACAGGGTCTTTTTATTGCTTTTACTATTCTTCATTCCCATGAAACTGAAGGTACTAAGGAATGTCAAACTTGATGGCAGAAAATCCAGAGACTGTGATAAACATCATTATAAGGAATCCCAGTTGTTAAAACTACCAGTATATACATTTATACATATAAATTCTGGGTGTCATTCCTTTGGGCTATGTCAAAAGAATATATGTAATATAATACCTTTTAGTGTTTCCTCACATGTGAGTGCTCAGGCCTGGCTTGATTTTAATGGAAAAAGACAATTATAGCAATATATGAAAAGGTGCCTCCTTGAGGTGATCTATCAAAAATGACAGTATTTGCCCTTTCCTAGGCACTACACAGTGTGTACTGACTACTGCAGCAATTTCTCCTGGGAGTGGTTTTACTTTCCCATCAGACAGTTTCTTGTTAAATAAATATAAGAGACAGATATTTCAGTGGTCTGGTTTCTACAAATATTGAATAGATATCCTGAAGCCTTCTGTCAATGGCCACAACAGGAAAATCATCCAACCGTCATATGGAATACTCTGAGGATAGTCCCAAAATGATTGGCTCTTATGCCAGATAGCGAGACTCAGTGTGTGCCAGGGTATCTTCTCTTCCAAAAGGTATAGGAAGGATCTCTGGATTGGGCAAATAACCTGAAACAGACATTTCTCTCCTAGCATTTCTAAAATCCAGCTTACGTGCATGTGCACACTCCTACCAGTTGCAACTATTTGCTTCTGTATTGTTTTGCCTCCTGACATTATCAAAGTCATTCCTATGATATTGTGTACCCTACTAGTAGAGATGACCAATCACATTTGTATCTTACAGGAAACAGTAGAGTAGGTTGAGAACAATAAAACTAAAAAGAACTTTGAGTATCTCAGTGTTTTGTAGTACTCACAAGGTAATGGCTTTAGATATGACTCGAGTCCCTTTTAGGTTCAATCTCTATTACTAACAGTTTGTCTATCACTTTCTTAAGTCTCAACAGTGAACAAAACATATGTCCATAAAAACACTTGCATGTGGTGTTCATAGAAGCTTTTTTTTGTAATAGCCCAAAACTTGAAACACTCCAGATGCCCATGAACAGGTGAAGTGATAAACTCTGGTATATTCACATTACAAAATATTAATCAGGTGTGAAAAAGGAATGAAGTACTGATAAACACAACATAGAAATTTTTGAGATTTCAAAGCAATTTTACTAAGTTAAAGAAGCCAGACAAAATATGACATGCTTTATTATTCTATTTTTACAAAATTCTAGAAAGTTCAAATTAATCTATAGTTTCTTAAAAATTTACACATACATCTGCCATGCAATCCAGCCATTCCATATGACAGCCTATGTACATACAAAGACTTTTACATACATATCCAAATCAGTTTTATTTGTTCTTAACTGAGGTATAATTGACATATAGTACTAGTTTCAGGTGTACAACATGATTCCATATTTGTATATATTGCAAAATGATAACTACAGTAAGTCTAGTTAACATCTGTCACCATACATAGTTATATATTTTTTTCTTGTGATGAGGACTTTTAAGATCTACTCTCTTAGCAACTTCCAAATTCATTACAGTATTAACTATAGTCATCATGCTGTAAATTAAATTTCTATGAATTTTTTATTATAACTGTAAATTTATACCTTTTGATCTCCTTCATCCAGTTCAACCACTCCTGAATTTCCACCTCTGGCAATCAACAATCTATGAGCTTTTATTTTTTGCTGGATACCACAGAGAGGTAAGATCATACAGTATTTGTCTTTCACTCAGCATTATGCCCTCAAAGTCCATCCATGTTGTCACAAATTTCATTCATTGTTATGGCTGGATAATATTTCAATGCATATATACACTACATTTTCTTTATCCATTGATGGATACTCAGGCTGTTTCCATGTCTTGGCTATTACAAATAATTTCGTAATGAAAATGGGGGTACAGATATCTTTTTGAGTTAATGTTTTCCTTTTCTTCAGATAAATATCATGAAGTGGAAATGCAGGGTCATATGGTGGTTCAATTTTTAATTTTGGGGGAACCTCTGCTACTGTTTTACATAGTGATTGTACCATATCCTTGCCAACACTTATTTCTTGTCTTTTTAATAGCCATTCTAACAGGTGTGAGGTGACATCTCCTTGTGGTTTTGATTTGCATTTCCCTAATGATTAGTGATGTTGAGCATCTTTACATGTACCTGTTGGCCATCCAAAAGTCTTCTTCAGTAAAATGTCTATTCAGATGTGCCCATTTTTTAATCAGAATTTTTGCTTTTGAGTTGCATGAGTTCTTCCTATATTTTGGATATTAATTCCTTATCAGATATATAATTTGCAAATATTTTCTCCCACTCAATAGGTTGCCCTTTTATTTTGTTGGTGGTTTCCTTAGCTGCGCAGATGGTTTTTAATTTGATGTAGTCCC